CTTGATACCCAAGCCACACAAAGACAAAACTAAGAAAGAGAACCACAGACCAATGTCCCTCATGAACATTGATGCAAAAACTCTCAATAAAATACTGGCAAATTGAATCCAACAACACATCAGAGAAATCATCCATCACGATCAAGTAGGCTTCATCCCATGGATGCAAGGATGGTTCAACATATGAAAATCCATCAATATAATCCACCATATAAACAGACTGAGGGAAGAAAACACAAGATCATTTCACTAGATGCCAAAAAACCCTTTGACAAAATCCAACACCCCTTCATGATAAAGGTCTTGGAGAAATCAGGGATAACAGGAACATACCTCAACATACTAAAAGCAATATATAGCAAGCCAACAGCCAACATCAAATTAAATGGAGAGAAACTCAATGCAATTCCTCTAAAATCAGGGACAAAACAAAACTTCAATATTGTCCTTGAATTTCTAGCTAGAGCAATAGGAAAAGAAAAGGAGATCAAGGGAATACAAATCGGAAAGGAAGAAGTCAAACTCTCCTATTTGCAGATGATATGATATTCTACATAAATGACCCGAAAAACTCTACCAGGGAACTCCTACAGTTGATAAATACCATAAACACCTTCAGCAAAGTGACAGGATACATGATTAACTCAAAAAAATCTGTTGGACTACTATATACTGATTACACATTGGTGGAGAAAGAAATTAGAGAAATATCACACTTTACAATTGCCACAAACAACATAAAATACCTTGGAGTAACACTAACCAAAAAAGAGAAAGACCTGTACCATAAGAATTTTGAGACTCTAAAGAAAGAAATTAAAGAAGATACCAGAAAATGGAAAGATCTCCCATGCTCTTGGATAGGCAGGACCAACATAGTAAAAATGGCAATCTTGCCAAAACAATTTATAGATTCAATGCAATCCCCATCAAAATCCCAAGACAATTCTTCACAGACCTTGAAAGAACAATTCTCAACTTTATATGGAGAAGCAAAAGACCCAGGATAGCCAAAACAACCCTGTACAATAGGGGAACTTCTGCAGTCATCACCATCCTTGACTTCAAACTGTATTTTAGAGTTATAGTCCTAAAAACAGCTTGGTATTGGCACAAAAATGGGCAGGTAGACCAATGGAATTGAACTGAAAACCCTGATATTGACCCACACACCTACAAACACCTGATTTTTGACAAAGAAACTAAATTTATACAATGGAATAAAGAAAGCATCTTCAACAAATGGTGCTGGCATAACTGGATGCTGGAAAGGGTAAAGATCCACTGAGCAAATGGAGAGCATGGGAGGGAGCTATGAGAATGAGAAGGGAAGAAGAGGAAGATGCAGAGGTCATGAGGGAGCAGAAAGGTTGAGTCAGGGGAAGAATAGAGGAAAGGGTATGTGATAGGTAGGGTTTTAGTTGAGGGAGGTAGGAGAGGACAAGAAGGAGAAGTGAACTGGGATTGTCACGTAAAACAATCTTGTTTCTAATTCAAATAAAAAACATTTGAAAGGAAAAAAATCCAGGGTCTACGAAGCATTGTAGAAACTAAATATCAAGGAAACAATGTTGCCAAATATAAATCAGTTAATGAAATAATATTTATAAACAAGGAATAAATGGCCAACAAACATTTTAAAATGTATTTAACACCATCCTTGTCATGAAAATGAAAATATTCAATAAAACACCAGCAAATTGAATCAAAGCACACATCAAATATATCACCCCTCATGACCAAGCTGGTTTAATCCCAGAGATGCCAGGTTGGTTCAATGTATGGAAAATGGTCAATGTAATCTACCATATAAACAAATTAAAAGAAAAATAACCATATGATTATCTTGTTAGATGCTGAAAGAGCCTTCAACAAAATCCAATACCCCTTCATAATAAAGGTCTTGGACAGATCAGAGATGAAAAGAATGTACATAAACATAATAAAGCCATTATTATACAGAGGCAACAACCAACATTAAAATAAATGGAGAAAAACTCATATTGATTCCTCTAAAATTGGGAACAGGTCTAGGCTGTCCACTCTCAGATTATATATTCAATACAGTGCTCAGAGTTCTAGTTGGAGCAATAAGACATCAACAGGAGGAGGAGGGCCTGGTCCTGGCCCAATTTTTGTGCCAGATAATGTTGACTCCACATGGGAGCCCTTAGCAATGAGGGGGAGTGGACTGGGCTGTGCTTGGGGGCAGGTGACAGGGGAGGGAGGAGGCAAGTGGTGTTGGGGGGAGGGGTGAGAGGAAGAACTAAGGTTGGAATGTAAAATGAAATCAAAAAAATGAAAATGAAAAACAGAAAATTAAAATTTAGGTGATTTTATGAACACATGTCATGAGGAGTGGGTCAGTAAGAAAGGAAATGAGAGCAGATAATCAATTCTAGACTTGATTAAAATGCATATGCCTGTATAAAACACTCACATATATTAAGTAATAAATGTTAAAAAATTCTATAATTAAGAATGTTGGTTTGTGCCGAGCAATGGTGGCACACGCCTTTAATCCCAGCACTCAGGAGGCAGAGGCAGGTGGATCTCTGTGAGTTTGAGACCAGCCTGGTCTACAAGAACGAGTGCCAGGATAGGCTCCAAAGCTACACAGAGAAACCCTGTCTCGAAAAACCAAAAAAAAAAAACTTCTAAAAATTAACTATGTTGGTTTGTGTTGGAAGAAGACAGTGAAGTGTGGAATCCAAAGGGGCAGAGGGACTTCTCTCACTTTTACACGAATATGACATCTAAGATTCTAGCACCTTCCACAGGAGACCAAGTCATCATTCAGGGATCATGAAAACTCAATGCCTCTCCCTAACACCTTATCCCACTGGATACACAAGGAACTCTAAAATATCTTTGCTAATTAACAACTAAAAATTTTATTTATTGTCTAGTCTCTCACACCTGGTGCTGTCCTTGTCACTGAAGGTGAAATGAAAATCGCAGTTCTGGAGGGAGGTGAGGTCACAGAGTCACAGACCTCTACATCACACTTGTTCTAACTTTCCCACACTGAGGCTTATTAATGACTCTGGATCTGCATGTTGAACCCACCAACCTACGGAGCCAAGAAGCCAGGTGAGTACAGTGCATTTCATTCTGAGTGGTAGAGTTAGTAAAGAAGAAAGGCCTGAGCAACTGTTCAAGTCTTGTATGGGATCTTGTGTAGAAACAGATCCATGGACTAATCAAAATTCACTAGAATAAATGGCACAGCTAAGAGATGATCTAGACAGATCCAAGTTTTCCTAACCTTGTTTCCATTTTATTTCTTAGTATAATATATGTTTTCCATGGATTGTGAGTGTGAGTAAGACAAGGATAATTCAGCCCAAATCACTATCGGTTTAAGGTTTTTATTAATAAGTCAATGTGATAATTCACAACACCTTTCATATTGTGTAGACTATATCTTCAGTAATAATTATTTTGAGCTTATTTCACTATGGTTTCATATCAAAGAAAACGGTATAATGAAAATATAATTTGCACACATCCCAAGAAGAGCAGGATGTGACTGTGATTGTGGAGTATAGAAGCAGTACCTGAATATCTAGTGAATGGCATTTATTGATATTGGAAGGCAGAGCCTTGTTCATGGTCCACCAGGGTTCTATCCCTTGGCTAAATATGCATTAACACTTAGCATGATCAATACTAACACTGGGTGGCATTTAATGCTCACAGCGGACAAGATTATAGATTTTACATTCTTCTCATTGCATTATATCATTTTACATGCCTATTTCTGTGTAAATTCATTTTACATTTCATTCTAATATGATTCTTAATGTAAGAATTAGCAAATATGACAGATGTGTTTTAAAAATCCTTTAATCACATAACTTTTCTGGAAGACAAGGCAGATCTCGGTAAACGTGAACTCAACATGGTCTATAGAGTGAGTATTGAGACAGTCAGAGGTAGATACTGGTGTCTAGTTTTGTAAAACAATAATATCAGGAGGTAGAGGCAGTCAGATCTCTGTGAGTTTGAGTGCAGCCTGGTCTCCAGAGTGACTGCCAGGATAGGCAACATAGCTACACGGAAAAATGCTGTCTCAAAAAAAAAAAAACAGAAAAAAAGAAAAGAAAAGAAAAAATAGTAAAGAAGAGTGCATAAATGCTGAATTTTAAAAGAAATATTTTAGCAACTTAGTATACATCACATGGTATTAGCTATTAATCACATATTAGTGTTTCCTTTTATATGTTATACAGATTTAATGGTGTTAGTAATTCTTCTTTCTGTGTACCTAGCATATTCTTCATCCCCCAATTGTTAGGAATTCATATTTTTGGTGGCATCATATATATCACATCCATTATGTACTTCTGAAACCAAACTGGAAGAAGAAATAGTTTTATCTCAGGTCAGACAATACTGAAAACAATGCTCCCAGATGCACTGGAATTTGAATTTGCCTAAGAGATAATCGGATATGTAAGGATTATAACTTATTTGTTTCATATATTTCTTTATTTTGTGTTAATGTCTGTTTTCCCTGCATGTAAATATGAGCACTGTGAGAATTCAGAGCTTTCAGAGGCTAATAGATGATGATTAAAGCCGCTGAAACTGGAATTGCAGACAGATGTAAGACACCCTATGGGTTCTGGGAACCAAAATGGGATCCCCTGCAGCACCAGCACATTTTTTCGCAGCACTGAGCGTCCTCTCTATTCGCCACAAAAGAAAACTTTTTACTGAACAAGGCATATAATAGGATACCAAAAACTTGAGCAGAAATCAAGTGAGGAACACAAACTACAAAGAAGGGTTTAGTATGCTGCAGATCTCCCATCATCGTTTTATAAGCACAGCCTGAGGTGACCGTGTTTCTGTAACACTTTCCTTGTACAAGTCTTTGCACTGTTCACTGTGACTCTAAGCAAATTTTGATTTAAAGAGTCCCATGCCCTTGTAATTCTTGCTTTAGTCCATTACACTGAAAATACTGGTATTGTCTAGACCCTACAGTTTTAAGAAGGTGAAAACCTGAGCTCATGGCAGTGACTCATAAATTGTCATGGCTGTTTTAGACTTCCATCAGCCATATTAAAGTCACAAAATTTTGCTTTCCATTATTCACTTACCACTTTATAGAATTTTGGAATGTGAATGTTTTCATGTGAGAATCAAGATGTCCATGGATCTAAGCAGTGTGATCACACTCTACCTTCTGTGCAGAATCCTACAATTCTAATGACAAAGGTCCATGTGCATTATCAGATTTTTCTTAGTGACCTCACTGATGAAGCATGAAAGTAGTTTCACGCGGCAGTTGATGCTGGTTCCTGTCTCTTCTGTTTCACATTGCTCTTACTTCCCTACAGCAGATGCAGTAGGATCCCAAATACTTGGCAAGCGAGTGGAAAAATTCCTCTTGTTCATGGTCATTCAAGGAGTCTCCAACACCACAACACCTCTTACAATGAGCCATCTTTCAATAATTTAATTTCCTTCCACACATATGTGTCAGGGTAGGTGAACTGGCATGAATTTCCTAGAATGTTCCGGGCCTCTCAGCAAGGTAATGATCCAGGGTAGGTGGAACTTTTCCAGAGATACTGGGATTTCATTTGTCTCCTGTTGAACACTGACTATCTTAAAAAGTGTTATAACTGATCCCTGCACTCCAGAAAGATGGTCCAACTCCTTAACAAGCCAAGTGTAAACCAACCTTGAAGGCAGGGTCAAAGGGAGTTGATACTGCCACACCTGATGTAGGTGGCTAGATTCACTCAGAATAACCTGCTAACACTCAAACCCAGATTCAGTCCTTGAGTTGGTCCAAACCAACACCTACGGCATCTAGAACCTCATGCTTGAGCTTCTGAAGGGACTTGTCCTCTGCAACAATACTTAGAGTATCTCCAAAACTTGTGGGCCTGCCACAGAATACCCCAGAGGAATTCCAGTGAGGATCCAGCAATGATGGTTTACCAGAAACCAGAGGCTTTAACCAGACCAGTGACTCAAGGCAATGAATATTTGCTTAAAATATCTTCTCATAGAGGATCTTTTGAATCCATTTATGGGTCCCATTCTAGTTTTCTGGGATTGCCACACACTAAGTCACATACTAAAATTTAAAAGCTAAGAAACAACAATGACACAAGGTTTACTGTGATCTTTCTCAGTTTGTATTTCCTCACATAATAGAATACATTCAATTTTCTGATATATTCATTCTCTGTAGTGTTTCCCCAGTGCACAAATAAGGGAAACTGCTATTATCTTGTACTTCCCAAGGTCATCAGTTTGTTTTAAATTCTTCATATTCCAACATAATTCTACAAGCTGACTGTCTTTACATGGCCGAATGCTGAGTGGAGCAATCGCACCCTTCCTGAGGCTTCTTAGTTCAGCCTGGTACTAATTCACAGCTGATTCTCCTTACATTTTCAGTGGAATCTCACCCTTCTTAAAACGGTTTAAACACATTCTCCTGAGTGAATAGAATATTGTGTCATGAGAGTCTTCTCCCAGTTCACTGATGGGTTGTCTAATCCAGGGCCACTTTCTTCTCCCATTTACAAGTTAGAATTCTGATTGTTGGCACAATGTCCCAAACATAGTTTCTACAGAGATAGTGAACATTTCTGCATTAGATATCATTCTTCAGATGGTGACATTAACCTTACGATTTCAGCTGACATATTTCTGTGGGCTATCATCCCTTTGAGTGTCCACAGCGCTCTAACAGTTGTAACCTAAGTATGTACATATCTGTGTTTCTGTCTGTGTAATGTGAATTGCATAAAAGATAGATCTTAACATAAGATACATGTTGTTTCTTAACCCATCATTTGAATGCATTTTATGCCTTTTATAAAATTTTCATACGTAACAGTAGAAATATCATGAATAGTATTATAAGATTTTCATTTATCAGATTTTAATGTAAATGAGATATACAATAAGAATTGGTAATTTTTTAGTTTGGTACAAATCATTGAAATTTTCTTCATAAACAGCATGGTTAGAAAATGCTAGTTTATTATCACAGTCTTGGACTATGCTTCCTGTTATTGCCTCTTGTACCAATTGCTTCTAACAGGCCAAATAAAATATCCCACAATTTGACACACTCTATGATCTGATGAAGGCATATCAGCCATTCACATAGTCATGATCAGGTCTTTAACCTTCTTATGTCGATTTCATGGTAAGTTATAATTGATAATATCATAAACTTGGAGAAATTTTTGTTATGTAGTCTAGTCTGGTTTGGCGATTATGCCTCTCTGTAGACTATGAGTTATTAACATTTTAATTCATTTTGACCAGAGAAATACCTTTGTCCATTATTTAAAGAGAATCATGCCCAATAACAGAATGTATTTCTGGACTCTGATCATCAAAATAATTTTCTTATCACTAACTACAGTAGGAATTCTTGGAAATTTCTCCGTGTTTCATTACTATCTGGTCTGCTATGGACACTGCAAATTAAAGACTGTAGATTTGATTCATGTGCACCTGATGGCATCCAACACCCTGATCATTCTCTCTAAAGGAGTGCCCCACACGATGGCAGTTTTTGGTTTGAAGCACTTTTTAAATGATATTCACTGCAGATTAATTTTGTACATTGAAAGAGTTGGACGCAGAGTGTCCATTGGCTCCACCTGCCTCTTGAGTGTCTTCCAGGCTGTCACCATCAGTCAGAAGGAATCCTGTTGTAAGGATCAAAAATTCAAAGCTGCTAAGTACATTGGCTGCTCCATTTCCCTTCTCTGGGTCTTGTACATATTAATACATTTCATTTTCTTTGTGAATCCACTCATCAAAAGGTCTAGTAACAATGTGACAGGAAAACAAGATTTTGGGCACTGCTCTATTGCAGGGCAAGATGGAATCAATGAATCACTCTATGCAGCATTGGTGGTGTGCCCTGAAATCTGCTTTTCATTGCTCATGGTCTGGTCTAGTGGCTCCATGATTGTCATTCTGTACAGACACAAGCAGAGGGTTCAGCACATCAGTAGCACCCATGGTTCCAGCAGAACCTACCCTGAGTCCAAAGCCACCCAAAACATCCTGGCACTGGTGTCTACCTTTCTGGATTTTATACTGTCTCTGCTATCTTACAAGGCTGTGTGGCTCTTTTGTCTAATCCTAGTTGGTGGCTGGTGAACATCACTCACCTAAGTTCTCTATGTTTTCCTTGTTTTGGACCCTTTGTTCTTATTAATCATTACTCCATGATTTCAAGACTCAGTTTGGTCTTGATGAGGAATATAAACTCAGTTATTCTTAAATAAATGGAATAGTTGTAGAGTATCCACTTCCTAACTCAACCATCTCCCTCACAAGTCAGAAAAGAAAGTTAAAGAGGTAGTCCCTTGTCTTGTAAATATGAATGTAGGTGATATGTGTCAGAGTTTTGTCAGCTGGTTGACTTAGCTGTCCACATTAGCCTTTCTCACTGTATGAGGAAGATTTCACTCTTCAACTTTCAGCATCAAGGGTTCCCTTTGTCCAAATGATATACAAAAGAGTTAGCAAAAATGTTCTCCATTAAGCTATCCTTCTTCTGGCTTTCATTTGTCCAGGGCATGCTGAGTGTTGGTTATTTCACAGAAATCATATTGGTTATAAAATCTATCTGCAAAGAAAACTAATACAGTGGCTGACCTGGTAGTTGTGCTTCAGGAGTCCCCTGTTTATTTTCAACTGTTCTAGTCTTCAGCAGTACCAAAAAATTTCTTCAATCTTAACTTCCTACATACCCCACTTTCACATGCTATTGAGGCAATCATATTAGCTTGCTCTGAAGCTGGTACCAACCGTCTTCACCATCTCCAAACAGAGCACCTCCCGAGACCACGTATTGAAAAACTATTATCCATACCTTTTACCTCATACAGAAACTGAGTGCAAATAAATGGTGGTTTCAATGTCATCTTTTGTAGGGAGCTGCAGAAAACCGCACCCAAAAGATGGCGCCGGTTTCCGCCCTCCGCCAGCCCGACGGCGAGCGCTCTCTGTGTAAACAACTCCAA